GTCCTGTCCGTGTGCACATTCCGGCATTTTAGTTCAGATTCATCGGCTTGTAAGAGGAAAACTTTGCCCGTAAAGTGCGCCTTAAAAGTTTTTGTTCTCTGTACACATCCTCCTCCTGCAGTCGCCACCTAGTGTATGCCGGATGATTCGTCCCTTGAGGGATGAAGCCACTCATGGCACCACAGAGGACAGTTTGTCTGTGGGGGGGCTGCTGCTAATACCCCGAGCTAAACGACGCTTAATTCGGACCGACGAGGCATATGGAGCTCTTTTATTGCATTACACCAGCAAAGGTCATCGCTTCTTGGCTCAACATCTTGTTACATCCCCGCTTTCACACTAACAACCTTTTTGTTTATTTTTAATCACACTCTCATTTGGTTCCACCACAATGCAATTCAATTGCAGGGAAGAGCAGACCAAATCCAATACTTATTTAATAGTGGACGCATTCCGTTCATATGAGAAATAGGCCTGGGTCGATTATGCTTTGACGGTTAACAATGGTTTTAAAAAGTCAAGGTTTCAATTATTGCTAAAACTTGTCAGTCAACAATAATGGTCATTTCTTTTCTGTTTTGAGGGGCCTCCAAAGCAGGCAAAGTCCCGCTGAAATATGATTGGCTGCTTGGAGAGATCATTAAACAAAACAGTATCTTTGAAGATAAGTGGAGGAGGCCAGCAGCTTTTTTCCCCCCCTCTACTTCTCGTCTGACCAGAGAGGGGAGGGGTGAGCAGTTGCACAGAGGCGGGAGGAAGGACCAAGACGAGAGCATACGCAGATGCCTTTTTGCGATGTCGATTCATGTCTATTGCGCTTAAAAAAAATGAAAACATGGTCACAGCGGGGACCAGTTAGCCCCAAGGACAACATGAGCAGCTTACGCCTCCGTTCGAAAAAATAGCTCACCAGTGATGGCACACTGTGACTTACTAAGAATGAAAACAGAAGTAGAATGTTACTATTTCTTTCTCTCTTGCGTGCTTTCTCTCTCTTTTTCTTTCTTTCTCTTTCTTTCTTTTTTCTCTCTTTTTCTTTCAGTTTGACATGGTACACGTTTCTTAATGGACCCAATTCTGTTTTTTGTTTAAAAACAAAAAATTGTGTTCAAGGGGGAGGAAAAACTGTTTTTATTTTCACAAATATTAAAAACAATAAAACAAAACATTTTCGAGCTGTAATTTTAATACCATGATCCCGCAATATTTTTTCTCGGTCCCTTTGCTCGTCTTCATCCAGAACAACTCCAAATTTTTATGGTCTGACATGAAGCGACACAGAGGCCAATTCACCATTCGAAGTTGCTTCAGGGTCTCAAGTTTCCCTATATTGGATCAAATATTGATTGGACGCACCGGAAGATCAGATTTATCTACCTCCAGACTACTGCTGCAATTGAGTTACGTTATCTGAATGATCACAGGCCGCTTTTCCGGAACCCTTCAAAGGAGCTACTGTGAGTCCATCGAGTCACGGGAGGTGACTTTGGGGATGAGGAAATAAGGACTCTCGGGTCCTTTCAGTTGGCGAACCGAATGGATTTGCCAACCGCTTCATGCGTATTCGCACCAGGTGGAATTTTGAGTATGTTTTGTGAGAACTCCCTAAATGGCTTCGGCGCACCTCCTCCGGACGACTTTGGAGCGCTGATGCATGGCAGGAATGCAGAAACCAGATGAGCTCAAATGGAAACTCCAGGCAAGCCATGTCACTCGCTCTAATAAACACCGGGGCTCCATCCTTGTTGGCCACGCCCCGTTCTCGTCCATCCCAGTGACGTCACCGGCCCGCACCAAAGTTATAATCTCGCCCGGTGTAATTACACAGAGGCGGAGATGAGCTAATTTTGTATACGCGGGCCCGCTGGCTGCGGGAGTGTTGCCCAGATGCAGAAGGGAGGAGCGTGCAGGAAGAGAAGAAAGTGAGGAGGACGCTCGGAGAGAGGGAGGAGGTCTCTTATTGCAGCTCAGACGTGACCGCTCTGATTGCTCCCAGCGGCTGTGGTCGGCACATGGGAGATGAAGAGAGGGAGGGGTTGCGCTCTCCTTTCCAAATGCCGTCATCGCCACAGGAAGTAAAGCTGTCGAAAAGCAACCGTCACTGACTCAGCTCAGTCAGCTGTGAGTTTCCTCAATGAGTGCCTCCCCACACACCCCGCTATGATCGCCGATTGTGGAACGCTCCGCTTTCGTGGTCGCTCTGGATTTGCTCGCAGGGATAAATTAGTGATACCGCCTCGTGTTAAATCATTCAATGACATCCTGAGATTCCGGCACTCCTGTCACGGCAGCACTTTTCCTACTGCGGAAAAAAAATCGGTCAGAAATTTACTTTGGATGCTACAGGGCGGATGACGCGTACGGGAGCTAATTGGAGCGTGTTTGTGAGGGAATGTGTGTCACGGCCGCCGTCTCTCGCCAGCTTCTGACCTTGTTATGCAGATGATGAACCCCACCCGGCCGACTTTATACCTCCCACCTCTCCAGATGTCCCCGACATCTGGCAACCACCCTTTTCGCCTTGATTTGACACCTATGTTATAATTCCTATGATTTGAACTGGATTGTAGCTTATTCTTCAACGATTTTAATTTCACCTAATTGAGCAAGAATGTCACAATGTGAGTTTGGGTTTATATTTCTTACAAATGTTGAATTAGATAATTGCACATTTTGGGTGTAAAGCGTGACAAAGTAAAAATTCCGCGTGAGTGTAAGGGGAGATGATGTTATAAGCAGAAAATGTTGGCCTTTGCTTCACCGCAAAGTAAATGGGGACTTTTTTGTCCCGATGACAGATGCTTGTTATATATACGCACTTGAAATTAAACTTAAATTGAGCAGAACGTCTTAGAATATGAGCGTAAGGGGAGGTTTCTTACCAGTATGATCAAAATGATCACATTTTGGATCTGAATGCATGGCAAAGTAAAAATCTTCCTTTTTTTTCCTATGAAGTGTGGTTCTTGTCCACTTTAATAGTACGTTTGGGATATAAAATTTGTCGTAGTCCTTTTTTTTATACTCAATTGAAATTGAGCTTGAACAGAACATCTCATTGTGGAATGTATGTGAGGGTTTCTTCCAAATATTCTCATAATAAGGAGCAAATTTCGGATCTAAATGCACGGCAAAGTAAAATTGTGACTTTTTTCAATGAAGTGTGGTTTGTTTGCATTTTGAGTGCAGGTGTGAAGTGAAGCAGTTTGGATCATTGTTTGCACTGGAGACTTGCCTGAACTGATGGCACATACACGTACACACACACACACACACACACACATTATGTGTGGCACACATGGTCAAGCAGTCCACTTTAATACAAACAGTATGAGGGGGAGAGTGGTGCAGTTTTGCCATGTTATGTTGTCTTTGGCACTTTAAAGGGTACGCGATGATGGACCACCCACCAACCATCAGCTATGTCATTCTCAATCCACACGCTCGAGCTGCACCTGCTCTGGTGTGTGAACTTTTCAAAATAATTTCCGTGTGTGTGTGTGTGTGTGTGTGTGTGTGTGTGTGTGTGTGTGTGTGTGTGTGTTGTGTGTGTGTGTGTGTGTGTGTGTGTGTGTGTGTGTGTGTGTGTGTGTGTGTGTGTGT